TACGTTACTGTATTCTTAGTATACACTTAGATCGAGAATATTTAAATTTACCTAATGCTATTCATTCTTTTTTTCGCTGCCAGTCAGTCATATTTATTAGTTATTAATAAAAGAATAGTGGTAAAACTATACAGGATGCGTCTTAAATAAGTGCAAATATTTTCAGGGGTATATTACGACCGCAAGAACACGTCTATGAGGTTTCTTTTGCAAAAATCGTCCATTTTCTTTGAAATTTTCCTGTATATTTTAGAAAACTTTTTAGAACTTCCTGTTCGCCGCAAATTTTCCCACGGTATAGTTTCTTAATCTCTGATATTACGACACGAAAAGAGATGCAAATACCGAAAAATTGAGGTGGCTCAATTTTTTTTAAATATATATATTTTTGATTTTCACACTTTAATAACTAGACTGGACTAATTTGAAACACGGTAAAGAGAATATATTATGTTTCTTTTATCTACCAGCTCTGAAAATATTTGCACTTATAAAGTCACCTTGTATAATAAAAAATTTCAAACCGAACAAACAACGGATGTTTATTAAAATTATAAGTGTCTCAGAGAAAGACATCTTACAATAGTTATATTGGCCTTCTGACGATTATACTGATGCAAATTGATTAGTTATGGAGTCTCTAAGAATCTTACGTCACTTTAGTTAGAAGATTAACCATTTAAATTTTGCTAATCCAATCTTTTCTTGAGCTCTGATCGGGACCGGCCGGCCCACCGGGAATTTTCCCGTTTTCCCATATGGCCCATCCACCCCTGCTAGACTGACTAGTGATTACTCAGCAAAAATTGGCACTTTGACTCATATCGAGCCAAAACTTAGTCTACGGTTACAAAGAAAGCGACTAAAACGTTTCAACAATAAAGCGTTTGAGGCTATTTTAGTTTTAATACATTTTATTGTCATTTGTTTCCATTAAAAATAAGCAAAAGAAATAGCAGGTCTACACTTCCTAAAAAGATGTCGATGAGTAAGAGGTCGCAAGTAAATTATTACCACAGTTACCAAAAAATTAGACAACAGCGGCAGTGGATACATAAATTAAATCGAGAAAGAAACACAAAAAGCATATACCATACGTTTTTCTGCCACTTAAGTCATCACCCTCACAAATTTTACCATTACTCTCTACGGTATTGCTGATTTCTTTCCACAGTTTATATCAATTTTATTTTGTGATCTCTATGTCTTTGTATATACAGTGTGCTACCAATAACTGGTATCTGTAATACGAACATGGTTAAATTGGGGCAAAGATGCGCTTTGGGATGTTCACCAATATGCCATGAAAAAGTTTGCATTAAAAATTTCAAGGATTGCTGAGTTTTTTGGAAATAACGGATTTTTTTGAGAATCAGTTTAATTTTTTTCTGTCGTTACTTTTTAGAAAATCAAAAAACTAAATACATTGTAGCGTTTTTTAAACCACTACCACTGCGAACGGCAGCTTTTCATCGGAGAGCAGTCGTGGATAAGGTATTTCACTAGAGAGAAAATTAATCAGTAATAATTAACAAAAGATATATAGATATTGGGCGCCAGGCATGTACAGAGAAAGAAAACACAGTTGTATAATACTTAAAACTAATGACTATATTTATTCATGACGTTCTTTGCTGATACATGACATTGTACAGTTCTAGTAAATATATAGTGGTTATATGTCAAAGAAAGTGGTGGTAAGAGTCGTACTAAATAATAAAATAAAAATACAGGACATGTAAAGTTTAAGAGAAAATATGAAATGTAGCATTACTTTAATTAATTTGATATATTCCATATGATGCTAAATCGAAGATGTTACAACCTGTAGATTCTAGAATCTATGTTTGATTATCCATCTATTAAAATAGTGCAATAATATCTATAAAAGTAATACCATTACAAGACGTAATGCAATGAAACCTAAGATCTAAATTATATTTTAAAGATTATATCGACAGGAATGTTCTTAACAATCTAACCACTGAACATAGTCTGTACGATATTACTTAAGATGTACGTTATTGTTTTAGACTGAAAATGTTTTAGATGTTAAATGTAAAACTAGAACTTAAATATACACTTAGCTGTTCTTTTATGTAACCTTGCTTCAAACAGTAGCAGCGTGAGGTGGTCTAGCATCTCTGTACTGTCTGTCGGCGATCCTGTTGGTCAAAACAACAAAAGGGGCCAGATTGAGGACACAATGAATCCTTACAGCCGTAGCTACTGACTAGGCTTAGAAATGGGAGTGAAGCAGCATGGGACTCAAGCTACATCCACGCTGTGGCACTTAGATGTAAGAAAAAATCGTTCTTACTGGGGACACTCGTCCACAGGACATCTGTACATAAGATAATGTCTATACATAAGACACTACCCGTACCTTGGACATAGTCCGTACCTTGGACACAGTCCGTACCTTGGACACAGTCCGTACCTTGGACCCTAAAAATATGAAACTCTTGTTTAAAACCAAACAAGGTCTAATAAACAAAATAAACCTACCTCGAAATACTTCCGAGGGCTCAATAAATAATAAACAACATGTCCTTTCTTCCATGTGACATTCTGGAGGACAAAAGAAAAGTGATGCCAACGTGCCAGCAAAACACAAATACAAGTTGGGACATCCGTAACTCTACTTTAAAAATATTCAATAATAATATCGAATCTATAAAAGGTAATAACTCATCTTTACCTGTAGCCTCGAAATAGCAGCTGATTCAAATTATACAGCAAGACTTAAATAATCACCATTTCCAAAAGCTGGGATACAACAGAGAGTCAAAACAAAGTGAGGTTAAGCACGGAGAGTTGACAGAAGCGATGTTGACAGCGCGCGCCTCCACAGAATAGTAACAGGGTTGTGTCGAACGATAACAGGGTTGGCGACTAGGGAACGTAAAAATTACGCGTCAAATAAACTATCCGGCCTGAACGAGAGGGAATCCGGTGATGATAGGCCCCCAGACATCATATATTATATATAAAAAAAACATGTAACGAACTAAAAACGTTACAACACATTCTCATAGCCACTTTATTAGGGCTATCTGAAAGTATTTTTAGATTTTCAAATTAACTGATAATTTGTCAGATACAGAGCCAACTTAATTTTTTTAAATACGTATCTGCATTTTTTATTTGAAGTTTTGAAAGAACTCGGTCTCCTGAGTACAGGGTGGTCGAAATTGGTCTGTTAACAGAGAAAACCTATTTCCTGACTAGATAGAGTAAAACCGACATAGATATCATGGGCTTGATTTGTGATGCACGTTTAATGGCGTAAACCGCCTGTTGATATCTTCACTGCGAACTGAGATACAGGGTCTTTTTGAATTTTTTACCATTGAGAAAATTGCCCATAACTTTTGTATTTCGCGGAATAATATAATTCCGTAAAAACGTTCTTAATGTACTTTTTAAGCACAGTCCAGTGGCGTAGTCAGTTTTTTTCTATAGTTGCTCTTTTTGTCAAAAATAATAAAAAATATTATTTTTTAAATGGAAATGATAGTCCTTTCCAACGATATAAAGTTATGTGTATTTATTTCTAAGAATGAAAGAAATATTAGGATTTTTATCTTTGTATCGAAGAAGGCCTTGATTTTGTGTTGAGCTAGTTGCCTAATTATTTTTTATTACAATTTAATATTCTATATATTATTATTTATCTCCATAATTAAAGCCTTTATGATTATTTATCTACATAATTAAAGCCTTTATGATTTCCATTTAAAAAATTATATTTTTTGTTATTTCTGACAAAAAGAGCAAGCATAAAAAAACTGACTACGCCACTGGATTGTGCGTATATTGTGAATTAAAAAAGTGCCTTAAGAACGTTTATACGGAATTTTATTATTCCGCGAAATACAAAAGTTATGGGCAATTTTCAAAATGGTAAAAAATTCAAAAAGACCCCGTATCTCAGTTGGCAGTGAAAATATCAACAGGCGGTTTACGCCATTAAACGTGTCTCAGAAATCGAGCCCATGACATCTATGTCGGTTTTATACTATCTAGTCAGGAAATAGGTTTTCTTTGTTAAAACAGACCAATTTCGACCACCCTGTACAATGATATGCCAAACTTTATACTTTTTTGTTTAAGGTACAACAAACTATTTAATTATTATTTAAAATAAATTCGAATCCGACTTTATTTTTAATTATAACCGGATTAAGGTTATATTCATCGCAACAATATTGATCAGCGCTAATTAACATTGAATAAGGAAAATCGAGCCAATTGGAAGATTCAAATAAATAATATCTAGGTTAGCAATTTAAAGATATTATTTTTACTTTTTTTATTGTGAATTTGAAATCTTAGTGTGCGATCTAATAATATACAGAATATTAATCCTAGTTATTATAAATAAAATCAACTTCTACAAACTAGATTCAAGTGCTATACGTATTCAAAAGGGTTACCACCCTCTCTATTGCACAAATTTATTTTTCGTTCTAGATGTATTGATTTCACTTTTACAAATGTGACATGTGACAGAGCCGGGATTGAAATTAGTTTAAATGAATTATGTCCGAAACAAAAAAAAATAATTGTGGCATGTCATTGTTCTCAGTGAGACCGAATTCTTTCAAAACCTGAAATAAAAAATGCAGGTCCGTATTTAAAAAAATTAAGTTGGCCTCTGTATCTCACAAATTATCAGCTAATTTGAAAAATCAGATAGCCCTAATAAATTGGCTATGAGAATGTGCAATCCTTTCATGATTTTCTAAAAAGTAACGACTGGAAAAAATAAAATTGATTTTTGAAAAAAAAATCACTTTTTCAAAAAAAACTCAGCAATCCTTGAAATTTTTAGAACTTTTTTGATGGCATCTTGGTGAACACCCCAAAGCGCAACTTTTTGAAGTTTGAAATTTCGACATATGATGAGTTTTAAAACCTAAATATTCTTCCGTGCAACAAGCACAAAACTTCTGTCTTACAAGCAATATTAGACAATTATTGTATAATTATTTCAGAAATGATTGCCGACTTTGACGACGATACCCACTTTTGTTTAAAATGCCACACGACTATTCTAGGATTAGATAACTACGTAACACACAGAAAATCAGGATGTCACAAAAATATCCATCCAGGTAAACTATAAATCAAGATATAATCATCTGATCATTTTGAGTATATTTTTCTATAGATCCCTCAAAATCGCCTCTTCCAAGCCATCTTTTACCGCCAGATGAAATCGGTTTAAAGGCAGACGATTTCTTTTCTTCACTGGAACTGAGAAGTAGTTCTAAAAAAACTACGCAGTCAACATCAGGTAGGAAAAAGATTTTAGATTTTCGGTTCTTTTAATTCAAAATACTTTAGGCAAAAACTTCAGTGGAATACTTACAAGAAGTAAAACGACAGCAGCTATACAAGCTAGTACCAGCAGAGACCAAACTGAACCATCGCAATCAAAATCTGGAAAAAATGTTTGGATCGGTATGCTACGTTAATTCAAAACGCACTTATCTGATATTAAACAAACTCTAATATTTAAGGTGGAAGTCAAATCAAAGATCTAGGCACCGGTGACAACCAGTCGAAATTAATTAAAGCTGTAGCCAATCTTGAAAGAAGGAAAGATAATGCAACATGCCATTCTCCACCAAGATTAAGTAAGTAGGTAAATAACAATTAAACTCTTCACACAATCGTCTTTCTAGGTCAAGTTTATGACGAATCCGATGACGAATCTGATGAATATGAAACGGAAGAGGAGGATTCTGAAGAAGAAGACTATGCACCACCCAGAAACTATACTGGGGGAAAATGGAAACCGTCCTCTCCAATTCAGTGGACTACCAAAAACGAAAATAGAGAATGGGCAATTCCACCGCCTTCATATACAGGTATTTTTTTAACCCAGTTTAGTTGCCTCGAACTATTGCTCTATGGAAAATTACTGCTTTAAGGCAGACATATATTTACTATGAATTAGTGTGTCAATAATTTTGTAATATGAGATTCTGCCCGTTCTATTACATTCTTCTTAAGACAGATTCTCACGACTCGTGTACTTGGCAAGTACGCCAATATTTGCGTACTTAGCAAGTATGCTATCTGTATAAACAACATTTTTCTGCAACAAGCTTGGCGTACAACCAATGTTTGTACAAGTACACGAGTCGTCAGAGTCCGATTTTAGAATTTAGAGTATCAAAAAATATATCCTTAAATTATTTATCATTTTTCGTTTTTTTTATAGATATAAAATACAATACTTTGTTGATTTTGTTTTGCGTTGTTAATGTTTTTAAAAAAAATAATAAATTAAATAAAAACAAATAAAATATTTCAAATAAGAACAGATAAGTTGTAATAATTATCTAATAACAAAAACATTTAAATCTAAATGACGTATTCTAATGATTACCTACCACACGCTGCAGACCTATTTTACAGTCATTTTCTAGCATTCGCAATAATGCTACTGTTAACTTAAACTGTCCATCGAGATTTACTACATCTAAACAAAACCAATTGTAGAATAAATAATAAATAACTAACTACCAATCAAGAAGTACAGAAATGTAAAAATCAAATTCAAATGTGACAATTGAAACGTTATCCAAAATTGGGGGCTCATAGATTTTTCTCATTTCACTTTTTAAGGATAAAAATAGTTGTCTGTGTTGGTGATATATTAGTTTTAAGTCATATTAACTATTAAAGGTGGAAAATGGAAACCAAGGCGTCCTCCTTCTCCACCACCATCACATACGAAAGGGAAATGGAAACCTTCAGAAGATGACGGTCATAGTATGACTGGAGGAAAATATCCACCTCCTGGACATACTAAGGGCAAGTGGAAACCAGTCAGAAATGATAATGAAGAGGAATATACAGCTACTAATTATACAAAAAGTAAACACTATCGTATATAAGATATTTATAAATTATATTGAGATATTTAAAATTAGGTAAGTTAAAATCGAAAGCTGAAACTGATGATGATAAATGTTCTCCACCGACCCATACAAAAGGTAAATGGAAGCCTCAAAATAAATCTGAGGATTGCCATGGACCTCCATCTACTCATACTAAAGGTAACATAAGTTTACCAATTAGGTATCTTCGTATACCTGGGTCAAAATCACGAAGGTGCGAAATTCGCTTCGCCAAAGTATAATTTGCAAAAATCGCATAGTTATTGAATAACTAAATTTTGATAAAAATTTAATTTATTCGTTTTATCTGTACATTATTTAATATACTTTAAATGTAAATAATATTTAAAGTTATTTCAAGTTATGTACATAAAAAGTCATTTCGAGAACGCATCCTAAAGTAACGATCCCTAGAAACAAGTACTAAGAACGTCTATAAATTAAACAATATTACACATATTCATAACTTATGATCGAATAGTTTTATCTTATATTAACATTTTACAATAAAAATACAAACATCATTTTTTTTCCAATATATAGAAGGAAAAATATTTTGTCCGGAAGTAATTGCATCATTTCAGTGAACGCAGTTTTAACTAGCCAAAAATAATTTATTAAGAACGCTGGGGGTTGGCGCTAGTGTGCAGTCATTGTATATGGCGATAATCAAGGCGGCTGTCGCGGGTATTTATAGTGAATATTAATAAAAATTAGTGGTAAGTATCTTATTATTTATTATTTATTGAGCGTACATCAATAGTTCATCATCCCGGGAATGCCTGTATTAGTTTGCAATATCAGAAAAATGTTTATTTCAATGAAGTATAGCAAAAGTAACTTCAAATATTTTATGATAACTGTCTCAGATGGCGTATATGATGGCTGCCGTTAATAGAAACGCATTTTTATTTGAAAACGTCATTTCGTGAACGATCATTTTGGGAACGTTCCCGGACATGATGATGCGTTCCCAACATGATTATGACGTTCCCGGAATGACAGATTCATTCAATTCGGAACAATATTGTAATGAAATTACTTGAAAATGATATTTTACTTTAATGATATTTTTTTGTAGCAATATGGAGACGGACAAGACCGAAATAATGAAAAAAAACTCAAAAAAACAACTGAAAAAAAAATAGTGCAGCCTACTTGCGGCAAAGAGAACACGCTAACGCTCGAAAAAGAAAGTTTTTAGATAAGATGACAAATGAACAGCGAGAGATTAAGAGGGCTAAAGACAGAGCATACTATCAAAAGATAAAACAGGAAAGAAAGTGAAGAATATTGCTGAAATGACAGAGCAGGAGAAACGAAAGCAAAGAAATGAATGGAAAAAAGCTTCGAAAAAATACAGGAAAAAGAAAAAAGCTTTAACAAACATAATAAACAATACACTGCCACACTCCGATGATGATTTGGGAGCCACTTCTTCAATAAGAAAACAAGTAGGAAGAAAAATAGTTCGAAAAGATAGAGCCAAAGCATACCGTAAAATTAAAAAGCAAAAAGAAACTATTGTCTAAATGAAACGTAAAATTGAGCCTTTAAAGAGAAAACTAAAAAGAAAACAGGCAAAAGTAAAATTAATACAAGATATTGATGTGTCTCCCGAAGTACCTACGCAAAAATCTTTTATTTTGTGAAGCATTAACTACACAATTACAAGACAAGTCAGATACAAGTGTTTTCTCAAGGAGTTAAAACTATCCATGGTTTCTAATAATTTAAATGCGACCTCAGTTCAAACCAAGACCGCTTGTATATCGTCGATATTATCTTCTGAACTTATAGAAGATCCCATAGATGTAGATGATTTAGGAGACCTTTTGAAAGTCAAGAAGAGATATAACATTTATAAATCTATTTATGATTCATCTTCATCCAATGAAGACGATTTAATGACTATTTCAGCTCTTCAGCAGACTGAAAGAGATGCATGCAACAATGTTCAAGCTGGTACATCTTACGGGCAAGACAAAGGAAACTCACATCCAAATTTAATATCATCTGGGACATTTCTATTAATTAAAGTACCTACTCAAAATAAGAAACTTATTTACAGATATGTTGCCACTTGTCAGACAGGTGTTGATAATGATGATGGGGAAATCCTAGTAACTTTCTTGAGATCTGTGCGTAACAGTAGCAGAAAGTTTAAACTACGAAAAAATGATGTGTCTTATATTACCTTTGACCAAATAATAACTATTATTCCAAAGCCACGAATGAAGGTAGAGCATAACCAAGAGTATTATTACTACGATAAGGATGTTGATATTTTTGAAAAATTCTAATGTTTTTGTTACTACAAATACAATTTGTTACTAGAAATACCAATAATATCAAAAATAAATAACTAAATAAATTACATTGATGATTCATTATTTCAAATATCCCTTTTATACTTCCATGCATCGATTTATACCATATTTGCTTTCATTGTAATACTATTACCGTCGTTCAGGAAATAGCTACGTCATTCCGAAAACACGTGATTATTTTCGGGAACACTACTAAATTAAGGAAAACTTAGATCATTTTTTAATATATTCCTAATAAAAGATTATAATTCATTAATAAAACTTAATTCTGTGTATGTAAAGTAAATTTTATTAAGGAATTCATTTGGTATTTTAACAAAACTAAAATTGTATACTTAAAAATAGTAACTTATCTCAAATGTAGACGTATTTTTCTTTTTACCGTTTTACTATTACTATATTACACGTTTTGTTTAATTTGATTTTAATAAACTTTTAGGTGTGTCACTGTATAATGAAAATAAAAACTATTTATATTTTTTTTGACATTTCATGAATTTTATAAAAACGTTCACGAAATGACTGATTCTCCTATTCACTCTCCTTAAAAACCATATTTCAAAAAAAGTATATTATTCTGTGCTTGCACTATTGCAGTAACAAATCTACACAAGTTTATCGACAATTTCAGCTAATTTACATAATTCTAGTTTATGACATTTTTTATTACAAAATCAAATTTGAAATTTTCCACCTTGATGATTTTGACCCACCTACTTTATATTATACCATCCAATATTTTTTTAGGAAAATGGAAACCAAGTTCAGAAGAAATGGAAATAGCTTCACCAACAGATACGAAAGGTATGAACAACTAAATATTGAATATGTATTAATTTTGCCTTATTGTTGATATTGTTCCTTTTAGTAAAATGGAAACCTAAGTCTGAGGATAGCACAGTTCCTCCTCCATATCACACAAAAGGTAAAAGTAATTTTGGTAATTTATATCCCCGGACTGCCTTTACAAGAGGAAAAAAAATATTATTGACATTACGAGAAAAATACATTCTTCATTCCAAGCGGGAACCAACTGAAAGCGGAACTGAATAACCTCCATCCTGAAAGACTCCATCCGTAACCTGGAATGGGAGGGTCCTCCAACGGTCTAAGACACTAAATAAAATTCTTCAGGACTTGCGAACGAGAGAAATCAAACATTTTCTTTGATTTAAGTAAAAACAATCTTGGGATTGTCACGGTGTTTCTAACAGGACACTGCCTCCTTAACGTAGGCTGAAGCTGAGAAACAACAGCGAATGCAGATTCTGTGGGGAAATGGTGAAACACCAGAACACCTTATCACTGAGATGACGACCGTTCGTTCCATGAACTTTAGTACGGCTGATGTCGAGGATGGAGAGCTGGCCTCTGTGGAGCCGTTTCAGATACTGGCTTTTGTAAAGCCCTAAGGCTATATGAAGGGCCATATGAACTGAGACTGTATGAAGGGTATATATGGGACACCATAGATCTGTAAAGTCGCGGTGATTAACTCCCCTACTAAACATTCTACATTCTTCATAAAAATTTTCGCTTGTTCTAAAATGGTTAATCCCGTTTATACTTTTCCAAATTTCCATACCGTTTTAGGGGAAATTATAATATATATTAAAGCAGCGTTAAAGGCGATCAACTCAGTATCAATCAATTCGAAATTGGTCAAAGAATGCATAGAGAAGCTGAATAAATTAGGCAAAGAAAACAAAGTCCTCCTACACTGGGTGCCTGCTCACCAAGGGATAGAAGGCAATGAAAAAGCAAATAATCTAGCTAGGAAAGGAGCGAACACTCCACTAACTGGACCAGAACCGTTCTGCTTTCCAAGTGGTAACCAACTCAAGGCGGAACTAAAGAACTTGGAAGATTCCATCCGCAACCTGGAATGGAAATCTTGCAATGGTCTAAGACACTCGAAGAAGTTTCTGAGGGCTTATGATCAAGAAAAATCACAGACCTTCCTGGGTCTGAGTAAGAACAATCTTCGGATTGTCACGGGGTTTTTAACAGGGCACTGTCTCCTCAATGAACACCTCAGTAGATTGAAACTAAGAAGAAACGGCGAATGCAGATTCTGTGGGGAAGATGGGGAAACACCAGTACACCTCATCACTGAGTGCGCCGAAACGACAACCATTCGTGCCATGAATTTTGGTACGACTGATATTGGAGATGGAGAACTACCCTCTATAAAACCGTCCCAGATACTGGCTTTTGTCAAAGCCCTGGGACTGTATGATGAGTTATGATTCAAGAAAGGGGGACACAATGGATCTGTAAGGTCGAAGTGATTAACCCCCCTCCCACTCATTCTAAATTCTAAAAATTCTAGGGGAAATTAGAAAAGAACATGAAATAAAGGTAGAATTTTTTCAAAGTCCTAAAAATCAAAAGCCATGGTAATATAATTATTCAAATAAAATGTGATACTTTAACAACAGCAAAAAATATGATGTTAATCAAAATTAATAATAGCCATTTATCCTTTTTATAAGCATTTATCAAAGAATGAAATCTAAATTATATTACCATAGAAACACCTTTTTATTTTTAGGAATTCAACCATAATCCCACGTTTTTTTTCTAATTTTCTTTCAAACGGTATGAAAACTTAAAAAGTATAAACGGGATTAACCATTTTAGGACAAGCAAAAATTTTTATGATGAATATTTTTTTTCTCAAAATGCCAATAATAAAAAAGTGTTTCCTCTTGTAAAGACAATCCGGGGACATACTGTATAATGTTTTCATTTTTTTAGGAAAATGGAAACCAAAATCCATGTCAGAGATCGAAAATTCCTCAGTTAATATTACAGGTAAAATATTCAATAACAATATTTACTTTAAATAATGGCTAAAGGTTAAGGTCGATTTAATTTTTACAAATTTATAAGGTTATTGTTACTGAAACTATAAACTATAAACTTAAAATATCAAATTGTCAATGGCGGCTGGTTCTAAAGAGCACAGGGACCACATGTCGACGGGGAAGAATTTGAAATGTCTCTATTCTCAGTGTGATATGGTGATGATCGTTTATCTTCTCAATAAACGGTGATGAAAATGCTTGACTCTCATGGTCAGAAGGAAATGAAGACGAGAATAAGACAATGAGATTTCCTAATTTGTGGAGCTATTTATGCCGTTTTCAGAGAATTTTTTTCAAAAAATTATATAGCAATAACAATTTTTAAAAAGCTTCTCTGAAGACGGCCCCAGTTAAGCGCTCTCATTATTTACTGATCAACGACAAGGGTTTTGGTACCCCAACCCATGATAATAAATGATAATTTATAGATTACAGTCGGTGGTTGGAACCTTTGCTGTTACAACAGCAAAATTAAACACTAATTCGCCACAATACACCAGAACAATTTATTTATTAACAACAGTTATAACCTTTAAATATTTAGTTAGTGCTTACCCTTTTTTATGTTTGCACTGGATGCGCGTTTCGCTAATCATGTTAGCATCACCAGCAGATCATTAAAACTGAAAAAAACTGCAAATAAATTATAATCATCTGCTGATTATGCTTGAAAAAATTTCCCTTTCTTGAATTATAATGGGTAATCAGTTATAACACGTCATAACTCATCATACAGTCATAGGACTTTGACAAAAGCCGGTATCTGAGACGGCTCCACAGGGCCTCCATCTGCGACACCAGTCGTACCAAAGTTTATGGCACGAACTGTTGTCGTCTCGGCGCACTCAGTACCAAGGTGTTCTGGTGTTTCCCTACTTTCCCCGTAGAATCTGCATTCACCGTTGTTTCTCAGCTTTAATCTAGTGAGGTGTTCGTTGAGGAGACAGTGTCCTGTTAGAAACCTGTGACAACCCGAACATTATTCTTACTTAAATCAAGGAAAATCTTTGATTTTTCTCGATCGTAAGTTCTGAGAAACTTTTTTCGGGTGTCTTAGACCGTTGAAGGATTTCCATTCCAGGTTACGGATGGTTACGGACGGAGTCCTGCAGGTTCTTGAGTTCCGCTTTAAGCTGGCTTTCGCTTGGAAAGGTTCTGGCCCAGTTAGTGGGGGTGTTCGCTCCTTTTCTAGCTAGATCGTTTGCTTTTTCATTGCCTTCTATCCCTTGGTGGCCGGGCACCCAGAATAGGAGGACTTTGGAATTTTTTTTGGAATATTTTCTTTGCCTAATTTGTTCAGCTTCTCTAAGCATTCTTTGACCAATTGCGAATTGATGCTTACTGAGTTGATCGCTTTTAGTGCTGCTTGACTATCGGATAAGATGGCTATTTCCTGTTTCCGATAGTTCCTATCTAAGATAAATTATACGCATCTTTTGATAGCTTAAATTTCTGCCTGGGGTAGGTGCCCATTGAAACAGCAGTAACAATGATATGTCTTAGTAGATAATTAGAATTAAGAATTAAAAGATAATTGTTTTCTAAACATAGATATGTTTTATACAAAAAACCTCTGGTGTGGAATATTTGGGACAATAAGTGTTAAGAAATATGTGTACATCGTTTCTAAACCAATAGTTTCTCACATAAAAGCTTTTCATTTTTAAAGATTTTTGTTTCAGTGACGATATTTCTGGAAATTTGCAATAAAGTATTTTAGTTTATCTAATAATTATTTGCAGAAACACCAAAAGAAAAAGTCTCCGTTGTCAAACCAAAAGATAAAAAAGAAACAGTTGTTTCTGTCAACCCTTTAAAACCTCCAGAACACCATACTAAAGGAAAATGGAAACCATCTGACGACTCTTCTGATAATATTGATATCAAATCAAACAAGACGAAATTACAGCTGAACAAAAACGATAACTGGTTATCTACGTCCCCAATATTAGACTTCAAAGAATCAGATGGGTCTCCATTTAGGAAGTCCAATGGTATAATATTTTTAATACAATAAAATTATTTTTTATTAAATTTTCTTTTCTTTTAGGAACGGTACAATATTGGTGTAGTACTTGTAATCGTAGGCTAGCATCGAAAATTGTCTACGAGCGTCATTTGAAATCGGATCTTCATTTTAAAAGAACTCGACCAGAAGGCGAATTTGATGATGGTGCAGCAATAAGAAGAAAACGTATTAAATTAGAATCTGAATCGGTTAAGCCACCAGTAGCTGAAAATAAGGTATTGGAATATATACCTAATATTCTTTAAAATGTATATGTCGGCATCAAACAGTGAAATTTACCATTGCCTGAAATGCCTAGTTCATTTGCGTATTGCCAACAAACAGTGAACTCTTCAATTGGTAAAAATGTTGTCTGAAATATTCTAACAATTTCTTCCCTTTAAGTTTTAAAGCATTAAATTACCAAAAATACTATTTATATAAACATTTTCTATGTAGAAAGTGCACCTAGTAAAAATCTAATAAAAAAATGCAAGGCTTGGAAGGGACTTAGACTTGGAAGGGACTTGCGCAAGACCAAGATTGAACCCTGCAAGACCAAGACCAGACTACTTATTAACTACAGTTACTCATACCTGCAGGGTACATTCCAGTAATTTGAGGTTATGCTTGAAAACTTATAGAATTAACTATTTTTACTTACTAATTAATAAATTAATAATTTTTTTTTATTTTGACCTCAATACCCGGTTCTAAGGCTTTTTTGTCTTCATTTAAATAATGGTCATCTATTTTCCTGTAAAATTAGTTTAAACCATATAGACATATCTATTTCTACATAAAATACACTCAATTGATGTGGAACAATAAATACATTCATTAGTTTAGACCAGCAAACAAGGTAACTGAAGTTATTCAGTTAATTCCGTCATTTCAGGGAATGTTTGGGATCCACAGTCAAACCACTTGTAGGTATTTTGCCGGCAATACATAAAACGACTAGGAATTTCAGGGAATGACGGATTTTAATATACAAAGCCAACATATATGTTATATTAATTAATAATCATTAATTAGGTCAAAGAACCAACGAACTATGAAAAGAAAAGAAAGCGCAGAAAGATTTTTGAAATATGTAAGGTATGCCAATCAAAAGTCAATAAATACCTTATGGGCAAACATTTGATATCTCATTATCATTGTCGAAAAGGAGATATTTCGACTGGAGCTGCTAAAACTATGGTTTTAGAGAATATACATAGCATTATTCTGGAAAGTCCATTTCAGTGCCACGTCTGTAAATTTTACTGTAACAATCAGGAACAATTCTTAGAACATTGGCAATCTAACTTGCACAAAACCAAAAATCAATCTTACCCAGGTTATTTCTTATGTGCATTTTGTAAACAACGTTGCGAAGATTCCGACAGTATGTTTATTCACTTAAGTTCACCCGAACATCTAGAAGTAGTATCGGTGATTAATCGATCAGTGCCGATCACCATCAAAAAAATTAATGAACTTTCCTGTCTAAGTTGTAACAAGAAATTCACTCTCAATATTCAATTATTAAATCACTGTAGAAATGTTGGACATAATGCGACGAACGTCAATGTATTTAATAAGGAAAGTTATCAGTGCGAGCACTGCGTCAAGGTATTTTACAGTGCTGTTTCTATACAAAGACATAAAAAACTTAAACACAAAGAAGACTATTTTTTCTGTACAGTATGCAATTTGAAGTTTAAAAACAAATTAGAAGCCAGGAAGCATCGGATGACTTCAGCACATAGGTAATGTTTATCGAGTAATCAGAAAAAGTTCAAGCAGGGATATAGAGGTAGAGATAATGAGCTTTGATCAGTGCGCATCTAAAAATGTTCTTATGCCATGGTAGACGCAATAGTCTGGCTTAGGTCTACAGAGCAGATCAATCAGTAATAACAACTGATAACTTTTAATCTGTTCTAGAGTTTAATTTTATCTTTTGTCGTATTGGGTTATTCCGAAATTCAACCTACTTCGAGAATAATTTGGCTTGTGTTCTAATTTTCCGTGTTTTTTGATATAGTTATTGAGAAGACTTGGAAAGACAAGAAGAGGCTTGGTGAAATCCATTTTCACATAAACTACAACAAGAAGTTAAAATGTAACTTTACTTACTGTACTTTTATTTTATTTCTTATTAACTGACCCCATTAACTTCGTACCGCCTAAAGTGTATGTGTATATATACACACAACCAAAATTATATGGAATCACTTTTTATTTCTGACTAAACATTTTGCAAGGAAAAAATTGGTATACAATTTTAAAATAAGGCTTTTTGTTGTAAATAAACATGATAATAAAGAATAAACGATTGCTGCGATTTATTTTCTTGTGAATTTTGTGTTCAGTAGTAAAATCACGATAGTCAGTATAGTAAAATCACGGTAATTTTCATTCGATCCAAAAAAAAATTAAAAAACACCTTATGTTAGATTAACATATGTACAGAGGGAAAGAATTATTGCTCTCATTGAACAAGGAATGCCCCAAAGAGACGTAGCAGAGATAGTAGGCGTTGCCCAGGGTGTTGTATCGAAACATATCCAAGGTTCTTGGAACTAGGGACTCTCAAGAACAGGCCCAGATACTAAGTCCTCAAAGAGTCACAACTGTATAACAAGACCGCTTTGTGTGCCAAATTACTAGAAGAAATTCCAATGTTTCTCCTCCAGAGGTACAAAGACAACTTCTAGCAGCTACAGGTGTGAACATTTCAGTTGAAACCATAAGAAAAAGGTTTCGTGCTCGAGGGTTGTGCAGTAGGGGAGAGCCACAGTTATCTCGTCAAAATAAAATTGACCTGCTAAATTGGGGCTTTCAACATCAAAACTGGACAATTGAGAATTGGCAAAATGTTCTCTTTTTGCATGAGACCAGAATTGGCCTAAGATCAGATGACCATCGAATTCGGATTTATAGAGCTCCGGGAAGACTAGCAAGACTCCAGGCTGCCAAATCTGTAGGAACCAAGGTATAAAGGAAGGAACAGTAATATTCTAGGAGGTATTATACTGGAAAAACACCATTGTTCCACTCCAAAAAACTTCAACGGGTCGGAGGTATGTTGATTTAGTGCTAGAACAAATCGTTAGGCTTTGGAGAGCTGCAATTGGGGATAATTTTAACTTAACGCGCGATAATACACCTCCCCGTACCAGCAGAGTGGCTAGAAAATGTCTTGAAACGGAAGGTGTCATATTTTTGGACTGTCCTGCATATTCACCAGATCTAAACCCTACCGAACACTTGTGGGACCAGCTCAAAAGAAGGGTTAAAGCTCGTTGAAACAATCCAAAAAATCTCGCACACCTTACTGATGCAGCATTAGCAGAATACGAAAACATAATGCAAGAAGCATGCCAGCGCGGATTGAAGCTTGAATAAAGGCTAGAGGTGGCAAGACGGATTATTTAAATTATCAATTTTCTTTGTTTTTGCTTTTTCATTTCGTTTCAGAAACCAAAAAAAATTAATTTGGGTGTTTATTTTGGGAATTGGCGAAAAACTCGCGAAACTGGCGAATTCTTTTCAAAAAATAATTTGAAAATCTGTACATATCCATGCTCATTCTCACTACCTCTTTTCCTCCATATATCTGGCTACCAGTAACGACAAAAAATATTACAGATATGCTACTTTGGAAAAGAGAAAACTAAAAGGTAAAAGCTTAAGAAGAAAATGCGAATATTGTGACGAATATTTTTCAAATTTCTTACTATTAAAAGAACATTTAAAAGACCAACATCCCGAACATAAAATAAGGTAAGTTAGAACACAGAATTGTCGTACAAATATTAATTTTCAATTCAATGTTAATGTTTTTGAAGGTGTCCGCATTGTGGGACTAAATTTACGGTTACTCAAGAATTAACAAATCATTTACGAACCAAATCGTGTAAGTTCGCAGAAACCCCAGAAGAAGATCTTTACAAATGTGAGAAATGTCCTTTCACATCTAATTCGACTTCGGAATTACTCTTTCATGTGGCGCTACATGATGAACCGTTCCTAGAATACTCTGCAGACACATCAGGTATGAGAAGTTTAAATGAATATTTACTATTAAGGATACACGAAAGACATCTAAATAAAGGAGAAATACAACAACCCATTCATAAAACTTCGTTTGTGTACAATCACACATAATTTAACACTTCTTTTATACAGGGTGCTACAAATTCGAGGTACGAGCATTGGTATTTCGGTAACCGGAATAGATACGAACATGGTTAAGTTGCGCTTTGGGATGTTCACCAAGATGCCATCAAAAAAGTTTAAAAAATTCAAGGATTGCTGAGTTTTTTGGAAAAAACAGATTTTTTTGAAAATCAGTTTAATTTTTACCTGTCGTTACTTTTTAGAATATCAAAAAACTAATTGCACATTCTCATAGCCACTTTATTAGGACTATCTGATAGTATTTTTATATTTTCAAATTAGCTCATAATTTGAGAGATACAAAAGCCAACTTATTTTTTTTAAATACGGAGCTGCATATTTTATTTCAGGTATTGAAAAAACTCAGACTCCTGAGTACAATGATATACCATACGTTATACTTTTTTTTTGTTTTGGGTACCGACTTTTTTTTTTTAATTATTTAATCTGATTATATTCATCGCAACAATATTGATCAGCGCTAATTAACATTGAATAAGGAAAATCGAGCCAATTGGAAGATTCAAATAAATAATATCCGGATCGGCAATTTAAAGATATTATTTTTAACTTTTTTATTCCGAATTTGAAATCTTAGTGTGCGATCTAACAATATGTATAATATTAATCGTAGTTATTATAAATAAATCAACTTCTACATACTAGTTTGTAATGCTCTACATGTTCGAAAGGGTTACCACCCTCCCTATTGCACAAATTTGTTTTTCGTTCAATATTATTTATAGCTCTTTGAACTTATACTTCCGAATGCATTTTGATAGAGATTTGAGATGTATTGATTTCACTTTTACGAAATTACTTTCTTTGAAGTCAAGTAATGCCCCCCCCCCGGCGTCATTTTAACTATTGATAGATTGATAGTACAAACACCAGATCTAACACAATCCACCGAAATTTTTCATCATCGATTTTTGTTGAAAACGATGTGTGATCGGGACAAAATGTAAATAGTTTAGCCTCCTTTAACTTAGATGTCTTTTGAAGACGTATTATTACATTTGCAAATAAATAATTTTGAGTTATAACATTGTAAATATTTTAAGGTGTAACAGTGAAAAGTAAACCTGTTCCAAAATACAAGTGCCCTCTTTGTTTGAAATTCTTTCCAAAACACTCACTACAAGCCCATATACGACTACATACACAAGAGCGGTGAGTATTAGTTCAAACTTCTCGACAATTTATGTTCTATTTATCTGGTAGAATAAAGAAATAAAACTAAATTAAATAATTATTTTTCCAAACTTATATCCTTATAAAATAATCTGTTCTCTTTTATAGACCCTACGCATGCAAATTCTGCAGTGCAACATTTGCTAGAAAAAATAACTTGTTGTTTCATCAAAAAAATCACGAGAAAAATGAACACATTAAGCCTAAGAAACCGGTCAGCGATGAGAAGAGTTTCTTATGCTCAACATGCGGATCCGGATTTAACAAAAAGTAAGTTTTTCTTGCCAAAACGTATACCATGTAATTGCTTGTCTTACGTAGTTAATTAGCATTTCATCTTTAGTTAGCTTTTTTGATCAAATTTAAAGTGTTATATTTTTGTTATTTTTAGCCCTGTTTTCATGATTTTTTAGCAAGCTGTATATAATTATATCAATTTTGATTCGTTTTTATAAACTTTAATATTTGGCATATTATACAGGGTTAATCGAGGGGTTGTTTTGTTACCTTAACTTACCAAACCAAACAAAACACCCTGTGCAATAATTTCGTCTGTAAATTACCCTAAAATATAATTTTACGGTCAGAACCATGACTTCTGAGCATTTTGTTTTTTGATTCATGTCAATACATGTCTTGGCTAATTTTTAATCATTAAGAGCGAAATGAACTCGCCTTAATGATTTGATTGTTTATATTACATTTTATTTATATTATTTTTTATTATTTTATTGCATTTGATTTTCCGTATTCAACCCACGTCACTGTTAAGTTTGAAAGCTTATCAATATTGTAACGATGAATATTTTTAAATATTAAAAAAAAAACAGAGCCGGACTTGAAATTAGTTTAAATAAATTGTGTTCAAATTTCCAAAACAAAAAAAAATATTAAGTGTGGCATATCATTGTACTCAGGAGAGCGAGATCCTTTCAAAATCCGAAATAAAAAATGCAGGTCCGTATTTAAAAAAAATAAGTTGGCCTCTGTATCTTACAAACTATCAGCTGATTTGAAAATCTAAAAATACTATCGGATAGCCCTAATAAAGTAGCTATGAGAATGTGCAATTAGTTTTTTGATTTTCTAAAAACTAACGACAGGAAAAAATAAAATTGATTTTCAAAAATATCCGTTTTTTCCAAAAAACTCAGCAATCCTTGAAATTTTAAAAACTTTTTTGATGGCATCTTTGTGAACATCCCAAAGCGCAACTTTGCCCCAATTTAACCATCTTCGTATCTATTACGGTTACTGAGTTACCAATGCTCGTACCTCGAATTTGTAGCACCCTGTATAGTCAAGCAGCTTTTCTCTCTCGAACTTTTAAGGTGGAGCTTGAATTGAGCCGAGTGTTGTAACACGAGCAGTCGCTAGTCAATGCCGGGAAATAATCGGTGAACCGAACGGCTCGCGAACAACCACGGTGCTTTTTTAGCGAATGTCAAACAACTCTCGGTTTTTAGCGAATTTTGATTTTGTTTCATTACAAGGCAGTACAGGCTCGGCGAACTCCATATTTCATTCATCTCAGCTTATGTTTGTTATTATTTCACCTCCATATTTCACTCATATTTCTAGTAGATATAGTGGCTTTTAATTGTGGTTAAACATGCCTCTGTTAATAAGGTGTAAAAAATATAATAAATAACTACAAAGTTTGAATAAACGTAGCACTCCCAATTCTTAGATCCGACATTTTTAAAGACTGAAAAATACTGGAGCATAGCAAGCCGATCATTCGAAACGAGATTTTCGCGTTTCGACTGCGAACGAAACGCTCGTATTGAACAGCAAACAAGCGTTACATTACGCTCGGCTCAACTCAATCTCTTCCTTTAGCGAAGTCGCATACTGGAGCAATAGGCAATACGCAACCAGCAACATGCGATATTATCGCCTATTGTCAACATACTAAATCAATCATTTTAATAAAATAAAATCAAAGTTCAATCTCAATATTGCCTGTCCGAAGACCCCGCTGTTCAAAAAGTATTAAAAAAATATTCCCATTTTTTCGCAACTTGGATCTTCCAAAAATAAACTCTAGATTCGCCTCTGCTTAGTACAAATTAAGCAGTTGAATCATCCCTTTAATCAGCCAAGATCCAGCCACCGCCCAAACGACTGTATCCAGTCTAAGACCGACTTGACTGGATTTGGCAGAAAGTAAGCGTTTCGTTTTTGTCTCGTATCGCGATACTGGCAGCCGTTTCGAGTGTTTATAAAATACGGAATTAAAAAGTCCGGAGTAAAAACTTACGATAATCCCGATCCGGAAAAATGCGCGGCTGACGTAAGCGGCCGGAACGCCCACTCGGAAATTATGTGACTGCGGCCCAGATAAAGAGACGAGAACGAGCCGCTTTTTAACTGGCCGTATTTATAGAGGCCGTTTTTGCACCGAACGTGACCTTTTTGCCAAATTAGCGTTTTTTGCCTACCATCTTTAACAAAAATGTTATTTTTCAATTTGCAGTTTTAATACAGTAATGCATTAAATACCAGTGTATCTCAAGTAATTTTTTTTTAAATTATACTCTGATGCCGGGTCCAGACCAAAGCGACAGAAAGCGAACACGATTTTGAGACAAAAACAAGACACACCCGCGACAATAATGAGAAATTCAGACAATTCAAATTTGAGATAAAGTGTCTATACCGCGAGGACAAAACTACAACAAAGTTCAATATATGCGAATCAGTTTTAATCATATGACCTTTCCACCAGGAAGAAGTTAAAGATATATTACTAGCATGCAGCAGACTCGCCATCCCATGTTGCAAAAAGCAACCCCAAAATTATTATTGTTTTTATTTCTCTCGTAGTATAGCTATTAATATTTCGTATTTTCTTCATTCGTTAAACAAATCTCCTCTAATGCACCAGCTTTCTTGTAACAGTTTCTGTAGTCCTTGTTTTTACGCTCCCATAATAATAAATGCGCTCTATAAAGCTCTGTTTGTTTGCAGGTATTTTCGGTGTTCCATTTTTTCTCTTCTGACATTTTTTTATAAAGATAGAGTACTCCACCACATACCGTATGATGGAAAAAAATGGCGTCCAGTTGGCTGGAAAATGACGATAGGTGACATTTCCCATATAAATTTACATATAAAATGACAGCGATCTTCATTTCATAGCCATCGCTGACGCCGATTTTTTTTGATCATACGGTACTGTCATATATTAGCAGTACCAGCAACGCACGACACCCACACTGCGCCGACAACTTGTTGTAAAATACACGACAAAACAGAGACTCTTTGAACTACCGACTCGAGACGGGACATTAAAAGTCTCCGAATTTGAAAACAAAACAAAAATGAGACAGAAATGTCGCAGAAATGTATTGGATGTATCACAACTTTGTCGTAAAACATTAATGTTTCTGTCTTGTCGCTGTTTTGTCTTCTTGGTCTGGACCCGGCTTTAGAGTATATCTCACCCAGACAGCTTCCAGTGTAGCACCTGCCGCAAGAGCATATTGTGATTCAGTTTCCATTTCAAGTCTAGCATTTTTTGTGGGGAAAAAATCTGCAAACCAGAGACCATATGCGGTACTGTCGGGGTGGTTGAGGTACCCTACCTACTAAAAAAAACTCCCCAAGCCGCTTTGAATATCCACCTTTCGGCATTACTTCTCGAGGAGGCGGTTTTACTGTGATGTTTTAGTTACTTCGTCTAGCTTCTTTATCTTTTATATCCATTAGTGTCTCCATAAAAGTTTGAACACTATTCCAATCGGGCTATCAATTAACTTTATTTTATATAGGTAATACCTAAAACCACTGTGGCCAGAAAGAAATTGGCTCATAGCTCAGTTCTTCATATTCTCTATTTATTCAAGACTCTATATACATATAAAATTACATCAAAATCGATCAAGCCGTTTTGGAGGAGAATGGTAACTAAAAACTGTGACACCAGAATGGGCATGTTTTATGTTTTTCAATTTCCACGTAATTATGCAGATTTCAACCTAATTAGCGCTTGCTACTTAGCCTTTTTTATATAAAACTTAATATTATGCCAACAAATGGGGTAAAAGTTTGAATTTCACACTTACGCGCGCTGCGATGACGTATGTAGCCCTCGCCAATATGATTGGCTGGTTTTCGTCTCGAAATAAACTTGGTGAATTTTATGATGTTGGCAGCATTCCTGTTTATTCAATGTCAAAATGACATTGTTTACAATTGTTTATTTTTATTTTAAATTAAATTTGCATTTAAACTATTTCCAATAATGCTAAAAAATTAATTGTTCTATTGTTGGATAACATTTACCAGTAACTATAATAAAATGTTTTTGTACGCGCCGAAAAAAGATGGAAAATCGTATATGCTGTTTTTTTCAGAAAACTTCTCTTAAGCTATGAATGTGATTTCAAAACATTGGCCTGTTTTTTACATGTGGAAGAAGGTGGGGAAAAATTAATTTGAAAAAAATGTAATTCCTGATAACTAAGATTAATAGTATTTCCGGAAAATCACAGTATTCACAGTTATGGTATAAAACAGGTACGCTACAATCTGATCATGAAAAGTACGTCTACTATCTGACCAAGAAAAGTTAGAGTAGATGAACAAGACAATTAGAAAAATTCTATTGGCACCAAGAATGTTAATAAATACGTTCATGGTTAAGTTATTTCAGAAGACTATTAATAAAATACATTGTATAGATAAAATAAGGCTCTAAGTGCCTTTTTACATCAGTTTGTTATTAAATGTATTAATATGAGATCAATAATGTTTATTATATAAGCATCAAATATTATTTTTTAAGAGTGTTATATATATCAGGAAGATTCGAAGGAAACATACATTGTGTAGTACATATACATATTTTATTATTTTTTAAATTTATTAAATTAAAAGGCAAGTAAATATAAAGTGTTTTAATTACAATATTGTAATAATTTATATTTTGATGGTGATAAGACTTACTGAATATCAGGGCAGTCAATTTACAATTAACCCGCTACAAGAACGTAAAATATAAATATTATGAGAAGACAAGAATGGCAATAAAAGTTACTAGAAAGTAAGATGTTATCTTCCTTCATTCTACGTAAATCATAGCATGGTACTTTTCTTGATTTTATTTGTTATGTATGACATATAAAATGTGCAGGCTAAAATTAAAATATAAATAGATACATGCCGTCTAAAATTAAAATAAATAGATAAATAAAAACCTACGTATTTAGTTATAATTCAAAAATCACCAGGGATAGCTGCACAGCTTAAAAATTTAGTTATCT